AAAAAAGAAAATAACTTTTCCCCTTCTCAAGTAATGAAAACCTAGCTTAACTCAAGCTAAAAAGTTGAGTCCTGGTAACTTAATATTTTATGAAACTCAGAAATTCTTATTCTTTAAAGGTAATAAATTACTTCTGCACAAAAAACCTTTCCAGACTTCTTCATATTTCCTCTTCAGAAAACATGCTCTTCCATTACCAAGTAAAATGATATTTACCTGTCAAATAAATGAAAGTGAAAGCAAATATTTTAGCTACTTTCACCAACTTGTCTATACCTGTCAACCCCTTGTAATAAAATAACTTCACATTTTACAAGGCATATGCATCATTTTCTGGGTTATTTGCTTCAAGAATCTTTCTTCCATGAAGAACAGTCCCTCTTCTCACAGACATAGTGATACTACAGTGGTTACTATATTCTGATTCCCAGATATAGCTCCTAAAAACAAGAGGCAACACATATGCAAGGCATCCAGTTACTTATAGACAAGCACTACAAGTGGCTCTAAAGTTTTTTCTTTTTAGGTATTACTAATCAAATTTCAATGTGGCTGAAGGGGAAAATATCCTTCATTTATTTAAACATTAAGTTCACTGATAAACTGGTGCCTAAAGTAGTAAGAGACCCCAGTAGAATAGAGAGGGAAGAAGTATCTTTCCCACATGTCCCCTAAACCCCGAGGTTGGCTTCCTGTTAGAACTGTGCCTACTTCCAACACTTTTTTGCCATGCAGATATCATCAGACTTAATTTCTTGGTGGACAGTCAAAAGCACAAAGAACCAAAATTAGAGACATCATGAAACACTGACTCGAAAAGAAGGGGTATTTGAGGAAGTTTGCAGTCTGTTTCACTTTAAAAGAAAAAAAGGCACGCTACCTTTTAGCCTTTACAGGATTATCAGATATAACTTGAAGACTGTGTACAAACAAAACCAAGTAGTGAAATGGAGACTAGTGAACTTTTAAAATATTCAGAAGGGAAAAAAACGTCCCTAATTTAAAGGCCTCATGCTTTCCTATTGCAAAAACAGCTTTGTGACTTGGAAGTGATCAAAACAGAAATCCCTTTCCTGAGACTACATCCAAGCTATAATACTCTATCTATGTATTTTAACTCAACCCACACTGGCATTTCATATTGTTACAGAAAACATCCCAGAGGCTAGCAACACAACCTATTTTGCTTCAGACTGAATGCACCTGAACATGATGTTCTAGTTTCAGGCCAACCAGGACAGAGTAAAACTTAGTGCAATCAATCAGCCATTAAAAGATGGTACGATGGTACTCTTAGCAACAGCTTTGCCAAGTGAATTAGTGTCAAATAAATAGAAAAGTAGTTGTCTAAGTATTTTAATCTACTCCAAGGACCTCTTGTGGTCAAGCATATGGAGACAGGATAATTCAGACAGAAAAACAAATATGACTCTTCTAGAAGTGACTTTCTGCTACTTTATGAACAAGTTATGTCAGATGACTCTGACACACATAACCCACCTTTTGGTTGAGGAGTTATTAGGTCACTTGCCTTTACAGGCTTAAATCCTTGCCAACAGGAAAAAAGAACGTTCATATGAGGTGCTTTAGCTAATAGGAACTTTGTGTAGGAACAACAATGCTATGAGTTTGCTCCCCACACAATTACCTGAATTATGAGGAAGGGAGGGATTCTGAGTGAAATCTGTCACATCTCAAGAAGCATCAGTGACAAATTCATAGAATTTATAACCTATAAGCATAAGAGATACCGCTCATGAAGCTTCCTTTGCAAAGGAGATGTGGAGGTATAAAGAAGGTCTTAGAAAAGAGGTCTTTGATGAAACAGAAAAACGAAAAGTAAAAGGCAAGAAAAAAGGAAATGGACTTTGAAGTCAACACTAAGAAGATATTCATATAGTTATCATGGATACCAAGCAAATACTGATGCTCACAACTATCATTTGAACACTGAAATTTTGAGCAGAGTAGGAATTCTTGTAATTCCTTTGTGTAACTTCCCAGATTTCAGCTGTTTCAACTGCAGTGTATGGACTGTTTCTATTCAAACCATTCTAGAAAGGATTTGGGCGGGGGGGTTGTTTGGGGTTTTTTAATCAACTCAGGCAGAACATCTAAACCATTTTCTTCAAAAGTTTCAGCTTCAGAGAGAATGTTTTCTCACAGCCATAACTTGAAGGATAATTTGTGCTGAGACAGAGACCTAAGCAGTTTAAATTAACTGAAATTGTCAGTGTATGTGGTTATACTTCTGAAGCAATACAGGCAGTGTTAGGCATGTAGGAGTCCCCTTGACATTAAAAGTATGTCAGAAAGAATAACTAATACACATTAAACAGAACCAGAATATAAACTTCCAACAAAATAAGGGACAAATCTCTATAACAATATGTAGAACTAAACTTCCAGTTCAGTGATTAGTTAAAGAGATATTCAGGTAAAACCCAGAATAAAACAAACAAATTTTTGCCTGCAGTTCAAGTTTCTGATCACAAGTTTTTATATGAAATTTTCAATTCCCTGAGAGAGAACATTCAGGTTCAGGCAAAAAAGTGTAGTTCAACAGCTTAAAAATACATAATTTTTATGGTTCATTGGCACCTTACTAAAAATGTTATAAGTAACCACTTATCTTTGATTCTATTTTTCCTTGCATGTTTCTGAAAAAGTGATGGAAATCAAGCAGTTTATACTGGAATTTAATACCAAATGTTGTAGTATATTATTACCCTTATTTACATACTGGTATTGCAATAGGGGAATACTGTATTTCACATCATTTTTAGAGAAAAAATCAATTAATAAAGAATAAAGAGGGGTACACATTAGAATTACAAGTTGCTTAGCTGGAATTCTCTAAAGCACTTTCCAGTTGATTTTAGAAGTAGACTACAACGATTACAGGATAATGTATATGACTGCTTTTGTGACACAATTACTACTCCTGCCCCAAGGGATTTATATAAAATAGCTTCTAATAATGCTGTTCTTATCCAGCAAGCCAGAGTCATACATTAGAAGTAACAGACATTATGCCACAGAGATAATACAGATGAACAGGTATGATCTGTAGAGATAACTACTTTCAGAATGCTTCATTTACTTTGTAAGTATTATTGCAATAAAAGGGAAGAAAGTAATTAATTGACATAACACCATATTTAAGGTCCTTCAATCCCTCAGCAGTGTAGGATTAACAACTCTATGCTTATTAAAGTACTTAATATTATTTATCTTACAGTAGTGCCCAAAAGCCCCAACTGAGACTGAGGTCTCTCTTGAGTGGAGTACTAGAAAATCATTATCACATTAACTCACAAAGAATTCCCTTTCAAATTATTTAAAAAAAAAAAATCCAAAGACATATGCTCAGTTTAAGCCAAATTACTATCTCTATAAGCTTTACTACAGTTTTTGCTCTTTTGCTCATCTTCATTTTTAATGCCAGAAGGAAGCACAAGCATACTGCATATTTTCCTACTGACAGACAGAAGCATAGCTCAGAAACACATATGCCCTGGACCTCTCCCTGCCTTTCAGGCCATTGGGTGTAGGCACACAGATGTTCCCTCATTTTTACCCGTATAAAGAGGTTTGAGTAACCAGATTGCTGTCTCTCTACCTGCTGAAGAACACAACCCCAAACCACACCCTGGTATTAGTAGGCCTGTGGGAATTCTAAATCTAACTAGCAAATTGAGCTGGGACAGATTTTAGGCTCTCAAATTTCTCCCTGAGATCAAACTGCTGAGTCTTAAAATTACCAGGGAACAGGCAGAATCTGCATAAACTTCTTAGAGGCATTATTGAAACAGATGGTTCGATACACAAATAATTGTATATACAAATGTTACTACAATCTGCTGTTGTAAAAATCAATGTTTTTTTCAAATTTTTTCTAACACAAATATTTTTCCAAACTTCAAAAGCTTTACTGTCATATGCTGCATAATTAACTAAGTATTATATAAGGGACTGTTATACTAACTGGCCCACTGAGACTGTTCATTATATTTCAGTTGTAAGACCTGTTGGATGAAAGCCAGCCCACCTCTCTCCAGAGAGTCTAAAAAAAATAAATAATAATTTTAAAAAATATTAGGTAACCATTAGTAACAAACAAAACACAAACATCCCTTAGATTACTCCACACAAGTCAGTAAAGCTAGTCAGATTTGTTAAGAGGTAAAATGCATGACTTATCAAGAGTTAAGCAATCCAGTGTATGTTGGGACAGCAGCCACAAGCCTGCTGGGGATCAGAAGTAATCTACCTGACAAGGACTCTCCTACTGCATCACCTATGGTCATACGCACTGGGCAACCAGCACCCACCCCAGCTCTGGGGGCACCCAGAACAGGCATAAACTGGACTGTAAAAACAGTGGGCCTTTCTGTGGTTTGTTCATTTCAGTGACAGTCACAGTACAAGTTATCAACATGTCTTAGCTTCTCTTCACTCAATTGCCCACCTAACCGATCTGTCTTATGCATCGATTACAAAAAGTTTTGGTGTGTTGCAGTGCAGTCCTCAGCAATTTAAGCAGTTCCTTGATTTCCACAGTTTAACACTGGAGTTTAATAATCTGTTCCAACAAATCATCTCGGAAATGCATATGCTCTCAAATCCTCAATGAAGAACAGATTTTCAGTGAGATTCCTTATTTTCCTATCTCAAGGAAGGATCTTACCAGATTGCACAGCCTCACTTTTCATCCTTTCCAAAAAGAAGTTACTGCACTGGAGCTACGGTACTCCAGCTTCTATCTTCACTCAAGAAAAACAGAAAACCTAAAGCACAGTACAGCAATTCCAGTATTGTTGTAGAATTAACAGTACACCCATTAACAAAATGAACATTTTACAAAACAAAGAAAAAACACTTCGAATTTTCTTTTTACAAGTCACCTTATTTGTTACATATCTCAGAACTGTTTGTTAGGATCTACAAGCAAATTTTATAACTGGAGATTATTCTGAAAAAAAGTAAACTTTACTTACTGAAAATTCGCTACTTTTACTGATACAGGAATGTGGGGAAGTTGAGTGGCCCATTTCAGTGTAACATCTTGATAAACATTCAACATCTTATTGTGATTTCCAATTAAAGTGTTTATTGTTCCTTCTTGCACTGTTAAAAGATATAAAAGCAATTTTAGGATGAAAGACTTTTCAAAAGCCACTACTTTTCATATAGGTTTATAACACTATACTATTTTTTCTTTTCTTTTTAAGGCATTATGTGTTATAAATTAATTTAATATAATTAAAGTGTCAAAAGTTATGAAAGTTACATTGACAATGTATGACATATGTGATTACTTATGGATACCAATTTCAAGTGCACATTACACAACACATACCACAACTTTCTAAGGTTCTAGCCAGCCATGTTTGCTAATTTTAAACATGACAAAGAAAGATTCATAATGGTTATGTTGGCAAGCCAGTATAGATATGACAAAATAATACATTGGTTAAATATCTGCTGCTTGTATTCTTCATTCATTTATTAACTTGTGAATACCAGCTGAATGCATATGCATTTACAGGGTTTAATTATAGTATAATTTAAATCAGAAAGTATAAAATGTGAGGATTGTCAAGATTAAATATGTAAAGACTAAAATGCTATTTAACTTCAAAATAAGATACAGTGTCAAAAATTTATCAGGTAGTTTTTGAAACATTAAAAGAGAGTAGGTATTAAGAGTCTGGAGTTCTAACCAAGTTGTTTCCACACAATATAATAACAGTAAATTTCATTTGATTTTTTTTTTAAACCATCCGTAAATATCACAAGTTCCTCAAACAGTAGTTTATTCTTCCAAAATCTCTCATTCTTCCATGTTTGTTGCTTTGGTAGCCTGGGCACTAAACAAGTACCTCAATTTGATGATGAGAAAATATTTAGATTATAAAAATTATGATACCTTACACTAAGTAACATTTGAAAATATACTTGCTTCATTCAAAAAGAGAGCTCCAATTCACATACTTTCTACAAATCACAGAACCACAGAATCACAGAATGGCTTGGGTTGAAATGAACCTTAAAGATAATACAGTCCCATCCCCCCCTGCCAAGGGCAGAGACACCTTCCACTAGACCAGCTTGCTCAAAGCCCCATCCAACCTGTTTGTTCAGAAAAACATATTTATTCAGTGGGAAAAGTAAAAAAAAAAAAAAAACAAATACGACTCTTAGTTGTAAAAGTAACCAAGCTAAAGTTAAATTGAATTTTCCTTTTACAAACCTGAACAATAAGGAATGAAGCAACTCGGACTGTAATCAAGCTTTTTCATAAATCGTATTTGCCCATTATCCTTAAGGCAAAAGAAGTTTCTCTCACCAAGCACAAAAACAGAAGAAACTCCCTGATTAAATGAGACAACGCATATATCCAGTGCTTGCTCTCCGATGTTTAGAACCCAATCCACCTTCAAAAGAAAAAACATGCTCCAGAAATCAATTGACAGCTGCATATTAAAGACAATACTTTGAGAAGGCTCAGAACTAATCAAGTTACATATCATTAACATAGAAAAGCAAAATCAAGATCTTTTTTTGAATGAGAGTTATCTTTTATTCTGAGGAAAGTCAGTAGCTTTCCTTAATGTAAAGCAGCAAAAACATCTTCATTTTAAAATAGCTATGAATTAATGACTACACAGTTCACTTAAGCACATTTAAATTTTAAAATACGCATCCCATTCAAAATGGAAATGCTTTATATTTTAAGTATTAAATCTGCCTCTGTACACATCCTTGGATATTAAGGACAAGGTTAGAGAGCAAAAGGTGACAACTTATTCTACCAATATATGTAAATGGCAAAACAGACAAAAGCTTTTGATGTGTAAGCCAAACTTGTAGTCACTCGTGAACACTCTTCAATCTGAAGAAAGCTTGTGTATGTCATAGCTTGTTTACTTCTCCAACTACATACATTGATATAATAAGCAACTACTTATAAATCCTCTCTCCCTTATCTTTATGTTTTTAAAAATATTACCGCTTATTGACGCATTTCATTGGTTTGTTTCTTCAGCTCCTCTGGAAATTTCAACCAAACACACATGCAAAAAATGCTTTTGACTTCTGCCAAGTCCATTAAACAGAAATTTAGAATTTCTGAAGTAAAAACATATCAAAGTTCAACTGTCAGCACTTCCTATATGAACAGCATCAATCATTTTTCTTAAAGAGCATAGAACGTGTCAGCAAACATACTGACATATCTGATATATGAAATTGGAAGTGCCATCTTAAAGTCAAAGGGAAAAAAGCCAGGCTTATTACATTTGTCTCCATCTGTGCTTCATATTTTAAATTTAAAAAAAAATGTTTCATTTGCAGCATATCTGATGATTCCAAATTTCTTATTTAAAAACCACATCTTCTCCTAATTCAAGATGTAGGATTCAGACTGACTTATAGTTTGAAAAAATTCTACTTTTAGCCACTGGAAGGAAGATGCTCTCCCAACATTTTACTGCCATACCTGAAATACACTGAATCTAGCATTTTACATATGTAGTATATTTAGCAGACAAGCCACTCTCCTGCAGGACGACAGTGAATTAAATTCTCTTCCTCTTAATAGGAGGCAGCTCAAATATTAAACAGCTTATTCATAGAGACACTTAAAACAGTCACAGGAACCTCCAGAAGACCATTGAATCCACAGGTTTTTGACAAGAAGAGTCCAGGATACCAATTATTTACGGAAACATTTCACTGCTGAGTTTTCTCTAAGTACAAAGGATTCCCCACGTAGAATGACATTAGTTTTATAAGTCCAATACAAAGTCACAATTAGATTTCTGTTAAAAACATGAGCAATAATTCAGGTGTACCTATTTATCTAATTTACTACAGTGTAGGTTCTGTATTACAAAGATGGCCTTAGAAATAGTTATTTCCAATACACAGTTCTCTCTTCCTTTTCTCTGTAGAAAAACAGCTAGTTTTAAGGCCCAACCTTAAACAACTGACGCCTAAAGAAACCTTAATAGAAATACACTGGAGTGTTTCCATTGCCTTTAACAGCAATTGGACCAGGTCCTTTGTCAGCAGACAATGTTTCCACTCCGTTACCTAGCATCCATCTTTTTAACATGTATGCAGTGTTCATAAAGGTCATGTAAAATAAACAGGTTTTACCGCAAGCCTTTTTCCAGAGCTAAGTTTTTGCTGTTCTTGTCTTTCATCAGCATCTGTCGCAAATGCCAGCACTTGGTATCTGTTATAGGAAGTTTAAAAAGGTAAAAAAGTAAAAGATATTTTTGTAGTTATTAGCCTCACATTAAGTAAAAAATAAAATATAATTATCATGAGTATACTCTCACAGAAAAAGCACAGACTAAAAGGATTGTTAGAAAGCCTACTGCAACATAATCTATCATCAGCAAAGATATTAAGATTAATATCACTGTAGGATAACAGCTAAGTGCAAAGGTAGAAATTAAAACAAAAATTCAGATTTTATGTGGTGTTAAAATAAATTCCATTGCTAAATATATTAGAGGATAGAAACCTAGACCACGAAGACAGACAAGAAATCAACTTATTTTCAATTTGTGAAATTGAAATTCTAATTGAAAAAAAATTTTTTTCCTCTTATTAAGCTTTTAAAAATCCTCCTAAGCTGCCCAGAAATAGAATCTGCTATACCTAATAATGAAACCCTCAAGCACATTCATTAAGTAAACTAAGTAATTCCAATCCAAGACACTACAGTGACAGGACAAGGAGCAATGGACATAAATTAAAACACAAGAAATTTCACCCCAGCATGAGGAAGAACTTCTTTATACATTGAGGGTGGCAGAGCACCGGAACAGGTTGCCCAGGGAGGTCGTGGAGTCGCCCTCTCTGCAGACATTCAAAACCCACCTGGACACATTCCTGTGTCACCTGCTCGGGGTGACTCTGCCTTGGCAAGGGGGTTGGACTAGATGACCTCTAGAGGTCCCTTCCAATCCCACAGTATTCTGTGATTCTGTGCTTGCTACTGAAAGATTTTACTTTCTAAAATTATTTTACTTACAGAAGTAAACTATGTACTAGTAGTAAGAGATTCAATTGCTTAAGGTAACTGTTATGACCTAGTTAATAATACTAAATAAACTGCTTTTAGTACAATTATGATGTCTTTAACTGTCCTCTGTATGAACAAATCTACTTTCCTTTTTCAGTTTAACACATTTATAAAAGAAGTTGCAGATTCTGACCTAATAAAATTTTCTCTTTTCACCATATGTTTACTGATAGTCTTGAAAAGCACATTATCATTTTATTAACTAATTAGGGACTAATACAGAATTTTCAAACCAAGCTCCATTGAACAGCAATATATATTGATGTTTAAGTGCCAGCTGCCTGCATATGCTCTTTCATGACAAAAAAACTCAAGCCACAGATGACCAACACAAACTTTTAATTCAGCTATCACATCAAGCACATAATCATTTAAATAAGACGCATTTTGCTTTTAGATATTGAAAGAATACAGATCAACAGCCATAACGAGATGGATAATTTGAAGTTTAGTAAATTGTTCTGCTAAAAACACTGCTGTATTTTTCATTCACTACCATAAAAATAGCCTCTTCTTTCCTTAGCATATCTATTTCTTCACTTTAGAAGGATTACTTAACTCTGTTCTAATGCCCTAATAGTTCAGACACACACTAGAGATTAGTACCACAGTCTTAGTACCTGGCATTAAAGACCAATAACCAAGTGAAGAATTCCTTTAAAACTACACATTCCTACAGGAAGGACAGCACACTTGTGAATTTCTAACAGACTGATGAAAAATTTTAGTCACATTTATTGTAAAGGTCAAGAATCTGAACATAATAAAAATGTATGAGATGTTCACTTTAAAGGAAAAAGTGTTTCTTTATTAATTGACAATATTAATAGATTCTAATCTAATTTTATTATAAGAATATATTAGAATTTTTTTCAAATTTCTTAGGAAAAATATGAATTTTCTATGAAATTACTTTTACTTGCAATACATATATCTTGTCCTGTGATAAGAAAACAATAGACAATATCTATAATCTGTCATCTGATCAAGCTTAAGCAGCATAATGAAAAGAGTATTGCTTGAGAAATTCAGGTGACAGAACTGGTAAATGGGAGAGAGCGTCGTGTTGGACTAACGTTCCCTGGATTAGATTCCCACAGCATAATCTATAAAAACTGGCATCCTTATTTTCTTTAATATGTATGGATACATCTGAAAAAAATCCTTAAGGTACTTGTCAGCCCATTCCTCCAGCTTGATGAGATTCCTCTGAATGACAGCCCTATCCTTTTTATATTAGTCACTTCCTACAGCTTGGCATTGTCTTTGAATTTCAGGACAGGCATTTTGTCCTCCTGTCCAGGATGAAGATGTTAAAGATATCCAGTATCATCTTCACTCATCTTTAGCTACTAGTTAGAACTGTGAACAGCTACTACTCTGTAAGCCTGACAGCTCTGCCATGTTTTCATCCATTTTAATAGGTGAGGGTTTTGTTATCACAAGTAGTAACTCTGTCCCAAACACCACCCCACCTCAGTTTACTGCTAGCCTGCTAGGCACAGAGATTCAAAAACCCTAACAGCAGACTGTGTCGGTTCTAATGGAGAAATGATATTTTATATTCCTCCCAAGTAGTCGGTATTAACTTCCATGTCATACATTCCCTTTTTTCCATCTGAACTCCGTCAGGACCTACCTGTCCAGTCAATCTGCCTTCTGCTACTTATTTTCTTAAACATCGATTTCTCAAAATGGATTGTTCTTGGTCTTTCCATGATGCAGCAGCTCTCCTGAGCCTTTCTGCCCTTCAGGGCAGCGTCTCACAGGATCCTGCCCACCACTTCCTTGAACAAACCCAACTGTTCTCTTGAAATCTACAGTCTTTAGTTCACTGTTTATCTTCCTCATTTTTCTTAGGATCAGCTCATGGTCACTGCAGCCAATATCTGCAACACTCAACAGCAGATGCTGACTATTACTTCTCCAAACATTTCCTTCTGAGTTGTGTATTCAGCAAAGTGTCTTCCTAAGCCAGGCTGTCTAGCACCTCAATCAAAGGAGTTCTCCCTAATGCACCTCCAAAACCTTCCACATTGTTGAAGTCCATTATGTTGCCCTTCCAGCAGGCATTAGTCCTCTGTGAGAACATGGGCCTGCAACTGGGAGACTTCTTGTTTAAAAAAACTTCTTGTTTAAAAAAGGCTTTGTAGCAGACATCCACCACAATGTCCCATTCCTCAAGCATCCATCTGATTCATCTAAAGATGGATGTTTGATAAACTTCCAGCATGGTGGTTCAGTTAGAAAGCTTCTCTGTAGTGAACACAAATCCCTCCTTGTCTGTCTTTCAAAATCTTTCTCATTTCTTTTTTCTTTTTCTCCCTCTCTTACATTTTTATCTGATTGGCCTTGCGATACATAGTCCCTGTGCTTGGAGGAAGTGGAAATGTCTTGCGCAGTCCTTCCTCTACATTGTGTTCTATTTTTCTAAATAATAAACGTAATATGGTCACAAACTAAAATAGCTCACAACATTTTCATCCATTTTCCAACATCAAAAGCACAGATTAGACTGAACTGAAGCAGGGAGAAACCTGGCACTTGGGAGAAACATGATGTGCCTTGATAAGCTGGTAGGCATCACACATATACAAATAAAATAGGACCATAAAGTCCTCGGGACTCACAGTATGTTTTCCTCTATGACTGTACAGAGACAGTAATCACTCAACAACATATAATGCCTTTCCTGCAACTACCTATCACCTGCTTTTGGATACTCAAGTAGAGGTATTAAAAATTAAACATGATTACTTTCAATGTGTTTACCTATCATTACTAAATGACAGCACCAAAATACACTATAATTACTGAACATAAGCACATACTTGTAACTTTCAACCTGTTGACATGAAGACACTGTAATGAAAGAATCTGTGCGAGAGCTGTAAGTCAAGGGACCAGGCAGAAGAAAACCGGGTAAAAAACGGCCAAAAGCATAGCTTTCCTGTTCAAACAACATAAGCATCCCGTCCATGGACTGTATGCATATCAAATCTCGACCTAAGGAAAGCAACAGAAAGAAATACACAAAGAAAACAAAGCAGTTATTTATATAGTTTTAATCCTAAAACTGCAAGTAAATTAAAATTGTACGCATAAGTAATCCTAACAAAAATAAGATTCATTTTCATTTATGGGAGTGTTTACTATGAGGAAGAACACTAAATATTCCAACCTCAATAAAAGCTTACTTTCTAAAATAAACAAACTAGATTTTGGGGGGAATAACATTCAGAATATATTAGAAGGGGGAAAAAAAATAAGGTATTTTATTTCAAACCAAATTTCTAAGGATATAACTATTACAATTTCACTTTAAAGAAATGTTTCAATATTTCCAAAACACCAAATTATTCTGGTTTGTTAAATGCTTCCATACCTCAGAAGCAGTCATAACAACTGTGGTTTAAAAATAACCTATTCTATTCTTCCAAGTCTACTGAAGCAATATAACAGAAAGTCCTACAAATATGTATTGTTGGGAAAATAATACAATGGTAATGTTTTCCACATTTTACATTCACATTTTCTGTCTTCAAGGAAAGAAAATACAAACCAGGCCTACTCTGTATTACCAGCAAGACTAAAAAATATGAAATAAAAAAATTCAGCTTGGAGTAAATGACTTCAAGCCTCATCCATTATTCAGCAGCCTCAAGACATGACTTAAGACATGGCTTGTCATGCCTGAAGTACACCAATCTAAATTCAAAGTCTCATTGGGAAAAATCCTGAGATCAGAAGCTGATTATGCAGTTTGCACTTCATATGCAGGGTAAGAATTGAAACAAACTATTTTTTATGCATTTAAAGAGAGCTATATCATTAAGATTAACAATTCCTGAAGGTGATAGATGTGTCTCTACTGAATTCAGAGATATGCACTTATCTTGCAAATGCTACGTCAAACACTTGTAATTCAAAATGTCTATTCACCTCGATTAAAATACTCTGTTGTGTCTCAAGAATGATTCTTTATGCATGGATGATCCCAAAAAACTGTCTGTTCACTAAGTTCCACCCTCTTTTAATTAGTGTTTCCTAACAGAAGAAAGTGAAGCCAAAAAGAAAAACCAAAAATAGACTAAAACTTCATTCTTAAAGTTACATAAAGGTAACAAAGGTGAAAAATACATTCAGTACCTGAAAAAGCAACAAATGTACAGTGCAAAACATTGTTCATCTCCACTGCGATTCTCCATAGAAAGTTTAACTACTTAAAAATAAATAGCAGTGTAAAAGGCCAGAAGTACATCATGTTACTTGTCCGTGTGATTAAAATACACAATAAAAATTTAGCTGAGGATAAGAAGAGAAAAAAAATGAAAGGAAGGTGAAGCACCTGGATCCTTCCCACTTGCCCTCCTCCCTCATCCCTTTCTCAGATTTTACCATTTTCTAAAAATTTATATCTCCTCTCCTTTCCACATTCTGCATATAACTCACAATATGTACTTTAAACTCTGTCACAAATATTAACCATTTGATAAGAAGAACATTTGGAAGTACAATTCATGTTGTTAATCTGGTTGAGGCAAAGTTGAATCTTTCAGTGTCTAGCGAAAAGACAAGAGGGAGGCAGACTCTGTGACACCCAGTTACAGGACTAAAGTCATCAGTAACAAACTGTATCACATGAAATTCTATCTGAACATAAAAATCTAATTTTCTTTTTTTTTTCTGTGAAGGTCATCAAACACTGGAACCCATAGTCCAGAAAGGCTGTAGACAGTCCTCCCACGGACATGCTGATAATACAATGGAACACAATCCTGGGCAACTTTTAGGTGAACCTGCTTGGGAAAAGAGTGGACTAGATTATGTCAAGAGAAGAATCATTCAAATCCAGCATTCAAAGAAGGCATTCTATCTTTCATCTCTGATCCACTCCAAGGCACCTCTTGTAGATATCTGTTCCTCTAAGCTGTGAAATTTCATAGGATTTAGTCCTATCACATGCTCCTGGATCAGCAACGAGTAGAAACCATCAGAGAAACTCGAGAACTTTTGCATTGGTATGCTATCAACATTAATGACAACCAGTTTCCACTTCCCAACAGTTGCTGACATTATTCTCACACTGCTGATACAGTCTAGAAAAAATATGAGTTAGCCAGCTGTATAAAATTATGATTACCTAGTAAAAGTTCTCTGAGAAACTTGTACAAACACTGATAACCAGTAAAAGGTGCTAGCCCACTGGTTGCCACCACAGTCTCTTAGGCATAGTTATTTTAAAGTATAGTTACTGACTACTACAAATAACTAGTGGGATTTTTATTTGGCTTGCAAGAAAACAGTGCTTCATAATCCAGGTGTCTATGTGACCACAATTATTCTACATCTGTTACCTCAAAGTCACATCTGTTCACATTCAGCATTCAAAGGCATACTGAAAACCCACTCAACACTTTACATTATCTAACTGTTTGGTTCCACTTCTATTTTACACCTTTATCAAGAATGCAACACTGAAGTCTGGATATAGAGAATCTTCAAATCCCCTTCCACAGCTTCCTATGAATTCTCCTACCACCAGCAGTGTGCTACAGAAAAAATCTGCAGCTGTCTGCCCTATTTCCAGAGCCTTAGCTTTCAGTGTCTAACTTCAATGGAACTCCCTGGTACCTGAAACGTGAAGACAAATTGATTACAGATCATCTTGAAGGTTTTTTTAGAAGGCACAGTAGAACACATTTTTACTTTGGTTTTTTTAAGGCACTTCCTATTTCTCCTCTTTTCTTCCTTAGAAATATATACATAAAATCAGGAGAAAAAAACCCAACCAAGAATGAAAAATTAAACCTGTGCATAAAATTACTCAAGTCACAAAAACATTCTTACAGCAACTATGTTTAATTTTTTTCCATGTTGCCATTCAGATTTGAAAAGTTCTAAATATTGCTTGATACAAGACCTAAAGAAAGGACATTTAATTGTAAAATGAATGCCCTTACTAACACAGAAATCTCATATATTTTGTAATAGAATAAAATTTCAGGTACTCCTAGTTATATTGATAGTAGTGAGAAAACTATCTCAAGACAACTACTGATCATAACCTTTAGGGTTTAGGCTTGCCTAAAATACACAATTAAGTTGTTAATTTCTACTCTTCTGATGACAACTACAGCAGATAAAACTGATATGCAGTGATACTCTCTACAACTACCTGAAAGTAGGTTGTAGCCAGGTGGGGGTTGGTCTCTTCTCCCAGGCAATTATCAGTAAGACAAGAGGGCATGGTCTTAAGCTCTGCCAGGGGAGGTTTAGGTTGGATATTAGGAAGAAATTCTTTACAGAGAGGGGTAATCAGGCATTGGAATGGGCTGCCCAGGGAAGTGGTGGATTCTCCGTCCATGGAGGTTTTTAAGATGAGACTGGATGAGGCATTTAGTGCCATGGTCTAGTAACCACAGCAGTCGTGGACTAAGGGTTGGACTTGATGATCTCAGAGGTCCCTTCCAACCCAGCTGATTCTATGATTCTTTGATACATATTACAAGTCAAATAACAAAAAAAGTAAAAGTCATTGGAAGTGTTGAGGTGTTATTGCTTAAGTAACAAATAATAATAGCTTCTGGTCTCCTCTATATTATAAATATTAACCTTATTCTTACCAATTTCATTGCATCATGAAAGTGATGAACAGAAAAACTGTAGGACCTCCTGCAATATGTATGAAGCTACATGTCATACCACACATGGAAGCATTCATCGGTCCATTCCAACTTGGCATACTCTGTGATTCTGTGATCTTTAGCATGCATAACCCCAATCTTTGTAAAATCTCTTCAGTTTTAACAGTAGTGACATGATTGATTACGACATGACACAATATGACAAGTTCTTTAGAGCACTCCAAAGATCTCCAAGCATACTGCAGTACCAAACCATACTTGCCTAAAGAAACAAATATAGGCACATAAGCCTGAATCAGCAATCACTCTTCGGGCCTTTAAAAGCACAGCAGCACTTCTCAATATACCCACCACTTTGTTCATTATATTTGTGTTGTTCCTACTCACTAATTTTCAAATTTGGATTTTAACTAGCTTGTACAAGTGGATCAAACTCCAGTTATCCAAACTATTACATGTAAAGCTTAATTAAAGAAAATTAAATTGTATATGAACTCTTATTTCCCAGCTTTTTATAGGTCAACTTATTTCCTTCAGCCATTTGTTTTTAATGTGTAGCTAGTGAATGGAGTTTTTATGTTTCACTTTAAGAAATGCAGTCTTCCAAAAACTCAGCCAGAAATGTCCATTTCAAAAAAAGCTTATTGCAGCCAGTTGGCTTTGCCAGTGACACATTTATAAAGTGAAAATATAAACCACAGTGTTTTCTGCGTATCAGATGGAATCACTTAGTGTACTCTACATAGTTTCAGCAGCTTGTGTCTCAAGAGGAATATCCCTCAGCCAGAAAGTGTTACTTTTAAGCACAAGTCTAGCTACTGTTGTTTTGTAGTTTTGTTATTCTAGCAGAATACGAATACATTTACATCACACTTTTAAACCACAATGTATTTTTAGAGCTAATGCAATGACAGAATGAGAGGCAGGTGGTAGTTCTTTGAAATAAGCTTTTAATTAAAGCTATTTTGGAGCTCAAGTTTTTTGCATGTTAATGACTTCCTCTACTGTGAGCCTCCCCTCTGGCACCAAATCATTTTCATAAAAAGTACATTATGTAATCACAAGGCCTGAGCACCACGTGAAATCATACAATGAAAACTACAGTGGGATAAATTGGAAATTAGAAAAAGCTTCATAAAGTTACATACTTTAGGAAGACGTCAAGTGAGAAAACTTTAACTGCCTTTAATGGTAGTCAAAAGTTCCTCAATACAGGAGCCTAAGAGCCCCTAAATGATATGCAGGAAATGTTTTCCTAACATGATAAAAAAGTTAAATCCACAATCCATTGACCAGTGAAGTGATGCACATAAACTGCATTCCCATACACTGGAAGGGAAGTTCCTGTCCTGACTTGAA